TATATTATCATCTTCATTTTCTTTCTTATATTCCTTTTGAATATTAATTTGATCTGAATCACTTTCTAATTCTATAGGTATGTTATCTGAAATATCATTCCAATAATCTTCTACATCAACACTTTCTGCTAAATTTCGAATTTCTGGTACTGTTGACAGTTTCATCATGACATGCGTATATTCATCTATAAGAAAGGATAAAAAATGTTATTACAAAGATATCTATGAACAATACTATACATATATTTTCCTTAAAGAAGTATACAGATGTTACTCACTGATTTTAGAAATTTCAAATCCTAAACTTAACAATTGAAAAAATAAATCTTTATCATTTCTCATAGCAGCTACACAAAGCGGTGTGATATCATCGTGCATACAATTCTGTAATGCAGACGGACATGCTTCGTATACAGTTTGAAACATATCCTTATCAATTGCAGCTGCTAATCCAAGGACAGACATACCTATAAAGTATTTTAAGATAGAAATGAGCCGTTTATTTTGAAAGTGGCATAAGTCACTTTGTTTTTAAGTCGATATATTTAAGGGTTTGCGTTTTAACACATTTAAACATATGGATGCTAACTTTCAAGAAGATTTACTTGTATTTGTTATCTCAGGATACTGATATTTTTCTCAGTATAAATAATTTCGTATAAACATTAAAAAATCACCACTTTTCATTACGGTAAAGTGACTTATGCCACTTTCAAAATAAACGGCTCGAATAAAAATAAATTGATTCTTTTTAAAAACTTTACAGCCTTAATTTGTAGAACTAAAAGATAAATAAATATACTCACCAAGATAAGTTGATTCATTTATGTTAGCATTTTTCTGTAAAAGATATTTGACTGTTTTAACATCTCTATTTCGAATTGCTATCATTAATGGTGTCCATCCGAATCTATTTTTTCTATCAATCATACTGCAAGAGGTTTCTTTCTGTAAAATTTCTTTCGTAATGTTATGACAGTCGTTTGCTGCACTGATATGTAACAAATTGTCTCCATAACAATTCACAGTATTTAATGTATAATCTAGCAGTAACAAAAATGAATATATAATGTGAAATTTATTTTTGCTATACATTGGTAAGTGATTTAAATACCTTGTTCTTCCAATACTTTTACAATTTCTGCTTCTACAATCTCTTTTATGTTAGAATTTGCTGATAGTTTCGTGTTATCTTTGCAAAACATTGTTATTATTACTAGAATAACAATGATTTTTCCTAAAACAGTCGTAATTAACCTTCTGTAATATAATTTCTCTGTGAAATTACATACATGTTTTTCACCATCAGAATGAGATAACGAAAGTGACCTCAAAATACATTGCTTTTTTCGACTACTGTTTGTAAACTTCTCCTTCTATATTAATTTCTTATTAGGATGTTTGCACATAGGCTGAGGAAGAAGTGGGAACAGTTTAAAAAACAAATATGCAAATACATATTTGTTCATTTACTAGATTGCATTTTCATTTGTATTTAATATCATCATCATAACACAGGCACTTGGCATCATCTGAAATAATCTGACATTTCAGAGTCCACGGTCCAGGTGAAACAAATAAACAGTAATATCTCACCTTAGTGAGGAATTCTGCTTTGCCATAGCAAGCATTTTTATCCCTACCATTTTACTGCGCATTCAGGTTCGCGCAGTTGCTTTAGAAAGAAAAGGAAGTGAAATGATAAAGAGAAACAGAATGAAACCAGCAGGTTTTATGTGTGAGTGTCCACACGGATGAGAAACGTAGACCGTCTCGCTTTATCGTGCTTGCGTCCTCACACTTTTCGCGCATCCATATGCCTGGTGCTCCATCTGAAACATGAGGCGCGATATTCGACTTGCATTTTTCGCCCTATGGGATTCTCGACCACACAGTCCACAGTATTTGCGAACGTCTTGAAACGACGATCATTTCTATTGGATTGGCAACTAAGTAATTGCCGATTTGATCAATGAAATAAAAATTTTTTTTACTTGGAATGAAGTTTATTCTGTAATGTATTTTCCATTTTGTTCGATGACCTTTCGCCATCTCTCTGACAACTTGAAAATTCCACGCTCGTAGAAGAAAATGAATGTGATCTATAGAAGGATTGATTTCGAATGTAAAACTGTGAATATGATCTACGAAAGGATTAATTTTGAGTGCAATGAAATGTTTCTCGAATTATTATTATCACTGGACTGCGGATTTGATGAATTTATAATAAAAATGAATAATTCAAATTTAAAACAATGAAGCTATTGAAAGAATTTATGGACGTCTACGTATTATTAGTTTAAACCTCGCGCCACCTCCACTCTGCGCAGAACGTTACTGCGTCTTTAGTGGCCCGAGCCTCGGTCCTGTTGAACCTTGCGATGACGGCGAAGCAACTCAGCCGAGCAGGCCCCCACCACCATCCCATCCCGTGCAGAACGTTACTGCGCCTTTAGTGGCCCGTATCTCGGTCGTGTTGAACCTTATGATGACGGCGTAAACTAAAAACCAGTAGCTACGTGAATGTAACTTACGGGTTTTCAGAAATTTCAATAATTGTAATATACTTAATAAATAATTCTTAACTTTAATTCTATAAAACTCTGAGTTTGTGAGAATTTTTTTGTAGGTAATTGCTAGGATATGGATAAATATGGATGCAAGTTTCATCTTTGTTTTTCAAATTTTTAACAGTAAAAATCGTATAAAATTGCGAAATTATTCGTTGCTTTCGAAACTCTTTCTCGTACAGTAGAATATTGATGTTGTATTGTATATTATAGAATATACAGTAGAATATTGATCGTCTCAGTTAAAAAGTAGTGGGATGGCTGAATTAAACAAATTTTGTTGATTCATAAAGTAGAAACCATTAGCTAAAATGTAGCTTACGGATTTTCGAAAATTTTAATAATTGTAGAAATGATCGTCGTTTCAAAACGTTCGTAAATACGCTATATGGTCTATGTGGTCGAAAATCCTATGGGGCGAAAAGTGTAAGTCGAATATCGCGCCACGTGTTTCAGATGGAGCACCAGGCATATGGATGCGCGAAAAGAGTGAAAGCGCATGCGCAATAAAGTAAGACAAGCTTCATTGGTCGTCGGTGCGACTTGTTTTGCTTGCGGTGCTGATATCTCTCCTGTTCACTCATTGCTTCCTCTCTTTGTCTAAAACCGTGAGGGCTGCACTGTTTAGCTGCGAAACATCAACCAATCAGATTTCTCTACCTGCTTCATGCTATTAAGCTGGTTGCCCCCGTTTCGCTCACTAAGGTGAGGTACTACTGAATATGGAAAATGCAAATGAAAGACAACCGGTGTCTCCATTCCCCACCACCTCGCTCTAGAAAACGATGGTGGCGGTTTACAGCGAGGTAAATAGGCACTCCGCCGCGCTATCTTCTCCACGAACGTGCTATAGCTATCGTATTTTTGCCCTGTGGGAGAAATAGCTGTTTGAAAGGCACCATAAGGACAGTGTCTACGCTTGGCTTATGGGTGAGAGAGGGTAATGGGTCAAGCCGCAGCTTGATCCGCTAGCGAGGGTCGATATAGAAATCTTTTCTGCTCTGATTGGCTGACGATTCACTACTGAGCAAGGGAGTAAGAAAAGCGTGCAAAAGTAGGTCCCATTACTGTACCAAAACCGTAAGGGGAATCTTAGACTGTTCGTCATCTTTACGTAGTGCCCTAGTGCTGCTATCTGTTTCTTAACTGGGATCTTGAAACTTGAATTGGGCAATCCAATATAGTGTTGCTATACACAAGCAACTTACAAGGATTTAGCGTTAGTCGTTTTAATGCTCCAGCATCGCAATGAACAGTTCGGGAGTGGTCAATTATGTTTTCAAAAAGTTCAATCTATGTTTGAACGATATCCACAATACCAAATGTTACGTTATTGTAAAATTATTATTGTTATTTATTATTATATGATAAATGATGACAATAGCAATATATTAGTAATAACAATAAGGAGAATAACAAGAACGAAAAGAAATCTGATTAAATGTACAATGATACCTAAACTTCTGCAAGACTCTTTGGCCGCAGCAATTCTACTAGCGAGAATAGGAGTAGAAATTTCTTTTCTCTGATTGGCTAACGGTTCAATGCTAGGACAGGATTCACTAATTGTATGCGCAGTAAAATAGTAGGGATACAAGCGCTTTCTTAGAGAGAGAGAGAGAGAGAGAGAACAAATATATACCTACTTCTGATGATGTTTACATTTCGATGAACATAAAAAGGGATGTTTGTTTACATTTCGGTCCACGCTGAAGAAATTTTTTCGCTTCTTTGTCAGTACACGAGTATGTTGTGCGGTAAACGTTGTAAACCTATATGTAGTATAAAAATGTTTGATTCGAACAATAATTTTAATGTAATATCTACTACTCATGTATATAATAATAATATGAACAAGGTGTAATTCCGAAATGTAAACATCATCAAAAGTGTAGATTCGTACCACTAACAAAGTATCTACAGTCAATATTGCCTATAGTTATAATAAAATTTTTAAGTGAAATATTGCAAGAACGGAAGCTCACTTTGACGAACGGTTTGAACATTTATTATACTACATATATATATATTAAAAATTATACCCAGTCTTATCCTAATAGCGATTTCCACGCCCGTTGTATTTTCAGGTCTCTCCTTATCAGATATTACACACCGCACTCCCTAATATGTGTATACATATATTTTATACGTGTGTCGGTTTTCTTAGTACTCCAATTTGACGATAGAGTGCGACACTGAGGCACCACACCACGATGGCGAATACATACATACTCTTGATTCCCCTTTCGTCTTTGGTACCATCTTACCGTAACTAGGCACTGTCTTTATGGTTCGTGTTGGAAGGGGAATCTGGCGCGTGAGGGGCCCCTCCTTTATCTCCCGTTTGTCTTCCGTGGACATGCCTGTTTCACATATCAATGTTGTTAGAAAGTTAGAGCAATTCAAAATTTCAAACTCGATTTCTCTAAAATCATGATTTTTAAGTTGTATCGTTTTAGCTACAAATGAACCGTATATGTATTAAGAATTAATATTGCGTTGAAAATATGGACAATATTAAACTCCATTCGGTATTTACATAATTTCCGCGAAAACTGTATGTATGCACTTGATTTTACGAAACTTTTTTAGGCACAGTATGGTGGCAGCACAGTCTCGTAAAATGTGACGTGCATGATAATTTCTGACAGCATTTGAATTTCATTTTACATATCGTGTATCTATTTGCCTCTGAAAGTAAATTACTTTGTGAAATTGTGTAAGTACAGTTATCAGAAGTATTGCTGCAACACGTGAACAACGAATTTAGTGTGACTGTTGTAATTTAAAGTATAATTTACGGCAATAACTTGTAACCCAATGTAAGTAATTTTACATTAAGTACTAATTTTCTGTAGCTTTCTCGATTTAGCTTTGCCTTTTATTTCTGTACGTGTATTCCGATTTATCGTTATATTATAGATTTCTTTACGATATTTTTGTTATTTCCATCACGGCAGAAGCTTCTGTTAGGTTAACATTCAGACGACGCCGAGATCATATTTTTTGGGGTGGGGGCAGTAATTAAGAGAATGTGGATAGGGAACACGAGTATATGTATATCGTCACCGTTAGCGGATAATTTTTCCGAATTTCAATTCATTCGATTCGTACACGCTGTCGCCTACAAAAATTTATGTATGTTAAATGCCTCTGAATTTTTTTGTGTAACAATATATATCACTGATTTTTCTTGCAACAATACAATATGGAATATTGATAAGCTAAGGATGTACAGTTAGAGATTTTTTTCCATTATTCAAAGGCTTTAATCAACTAACTTATAACTTACTGTTTAGAATGGGAAGCAGCAGCCAGTTATATAGTCTCTCTTGGGGAGAATTCAATTCGTCGTTGGCTTCTGCAGTGCAGCTATTAAGAGGTCACGGCGATTTGGTGGATGTTACTTTGGCTGCTGGTGGACGTAGTTTTCCTGCACACAAAATAGTTCTCTGTGCAGCTAGTCCTTTTCTGCTAGATTTATTAAAGGTTTTATTTTAACTGCGATTATTTTTATATACATATATATTAATACATTGGCAATCGTTATAAACAATGTGCGCAACCTTTCTTCTAAATATTGGCACAACATAGTTTTTTATTTTCCATGGTCGGCAAAGTGTTAATTCAATTATTTATCATTTCTCAATAATTGTATTACGATTGGAAACTTATAATTCAATAATTGTTTCTATTTTATGTAATTAGAGCACACCGTGTCAGCATCCAGTGGTTATGCTAGCTGGTATAGGTGCAGACGATTTAGAATCTTTATTGGAGTTTGTATATCGAGGCGAAGTAAGCGTAGAACCGTCTCAATTGCCGTCGCTACTGCAAGCTGCTCATTGTCTTTGTATTCATGGACTAACGCCGCCTACTATATTAACCGAAGTATGTTTTGCAAATTAAATAAATAAAAGTCGTATCTTTATGTTTCAGCGTTATCTCGTAAAATATTGATATATATTTGAAGCTAATGAATTATGTTTGTACAGAATGGGGAGGAGGTACCCGTATCTGCAATACCGACACCAAACGAAACTTCATCAAAAGAAACCTCCAGTCCTTATTTTCCATTAAAACGAAGAAAGAAAAGGAGAAAGTCTTCCTCGTCTTCCGGAAAATGGCCACGTACTGGGAGCAACGTTGATAACGAAAATAAGCATATAGGTGACCATAAGGACGTCGACAATACCGAACATGGTGATGACACAGGTAAGAAATATTTAAAGTCCTATCCATTCTCTCCGTAAAGGAGAAGGTTTTTAGAAGAAAAATGATAAGGGAAGTACCATCCTTTGTAGATCTATAGACAAAGTAATTACAGGTTTAAGTAAGTAACACATGTTCTGTTGTAATTTAATATGAAACATTTATCGCAATAAACGGCAACGTCTTTCTGTTAGCATTTTTCACGAACGTTTTGTGTTTATTGATTTTCGAATTGCATAGATGTTCGAACGGAAAGGAAAAAATAGATATTCGAAAGGAAAAATTGGAATAATTATTTTTAACTCGAATGGAAGTTTCAACGTTGATAAATGTGTTTTGTGTCCGATATATATTATTTTAGTGTGCGACCGAGCATAAAATTAGTGTACGTATATGTATACATATACATATATATTATCTATGGATTTGGGTTGTAAGATAAGGAAGGTTTCAGTGTTTTGATATTTGAAAACGGACACAAGCACAACCATCGATCGGGTTGAACTGCGGCTAATCGATGCACACCAGGATAATGCTATTCGGATAGAAGATAGAAGTTAGAAGTTAGAAATACCGTTCAAAGAGAATACTATCAGTTCAGCCCTGCAATGGTAATGCTGTGTTTGTGTCTGTTAGCAGCCAGCGATCGATTGGAATATTCGAATCATCGGAGTTGTCATTCGCCTCGTGCTCAAGAAGCGCAACCAATCTCGATGTCGACAGAAAATTCTCAAGCAGGACCACATCAGGATCAAATGTCGGATAACGAGTCGCATCTGCACACTTTAATGCCGATGCAGCCGTACTCTCCGCTGCATATACCGCAATTTCCCGGGCCTCTCGGTATGGCTTTTCCCCCTGGAATACCACTGCCGTTGGTTAGCCAGGGCTCAACAGCTGGAACGGCGTCCTGCGGGCTAACTGGGAACATGAATTTGTCGAAAATACGCGGTGCATCCGATTGTCCAGGCGTTTGTCCGCTGTGTGGTGCCACGTTACGGCAAGCGAGAAATCTTCGGAGACACCTGTTATCCTCTTGCAAATATCGGTTTAGTAGTAATTCAGTTCAGAGTTCCCCAGCCGACGCGATGATGATCGAAATAAAGCCCGAGGTCGAGCTGCCCGGTTACAATGAGCAATCGATGACCTACGGGACCGACAGCGGCAGTAGTACCTGTGAGCAAATCGTTTGCAAGCCCAGTCCACTTCCTTCCCCGACCTCGCAAGGGCCGAACGTTGTCTCACCTCAAAGCAACGTTTCTTCGCCAACTATTGCCAGATGAATCGACAGACTATCCAACCGTTTCAACTGGATAAATTCAATGCGAACAGAATTGTTCATTGGTTCTGTTACTGTGATTCGGGGTCTACCTTACCTTTAACTTACCTTTTTTTTTCAGTGATCCTCAGTGTCACTCTTGTTTCGCACTGATATACTACGGTGAGAGGGGTAATACCGACGCTGGGAAAAATATAAAGTACATTTCAGTGAATCTTAAATTAAGGTTGTGACTGACTCGGGAGTCGGATCATTTCTCTATAGGAAGAAATTTTCATTCGAACAAAATGAAAGTAGGAAATACTGATGAGAACTCCGGATAGAATGCAATGAATTTCACAACGCAGCGTCATGTAACGATTACATTTTCGTAATGCAACGAGCATTATGGTTTTATTTCTGTTACTTTTACTATGTTTCAGAATCTGTTTATACGATAATAAAACAAGTTAAAATTGTTTATCAGCTCATTGTAATCTCACTGGTATCACTGTGTTCGTTCCTTTATTCGTATCCTTAGAGTTTCGTTAATTTTAGTTTATATGTATTATTATATAGCGTATATTCGATGGGGACATTTGCATCTCTGCACGTGTACAGCTTAATGTACGATAATTTAGAAAGTAGTTGACTCGTACGATGTAACAATATAAAGCTGAAACGAAAGTATATTTACAAGCCGGTAACATTTTATAATCGATCATTTTTTCGATGAAAGTTTCTTTCTACGGAAAAGCAATAACATAGAAACATCAATTGAATTTCCACAGACAAGTTCTAGACTCGATTAGATTTCTATGGATCGTGTTCTACGGATATCTGCGTTATCATTCTTTTTTTATCGGTAACTTCATTTAAGCAAGTGCAATCATTCTTTCTGTATCATTCGAATGTACTTACGCGAATCAATAATATTCAAATATTAGCTTGAATTGCGCGTCGAAAGAGATGGAATCGACTGAATATTATTTTAAACGGTCTGCTAGCACGAATTCTTTGTTACATTACTCGTATAGTTTATTTTATATTTTATTTTCATCTCGATCATTTCTTTTTCTATCAAGATTTTTCTACGAACCCAGAAACATTTCGTGTGGAACAGTTATAAACAAATCTTCCAGGTTAGCGAGTAAGAATTAGAGTATTATAGGGGATAACAGGAATAGCGTTCGATAACAAAGTTATGCATAGTGACAGCGATGGTACAGGTATCTGCAAAGTACTTGGACGGTTTTTATACCTTTCGAATATTCGTTTATGCGATGATTCCCTTACGGATCGAATCTATGTCATCTTTGAATAATGCACGTGCGGATAGAATTCGGATGCCTATCCATTATTCGTTCATATATATATCATTGTTTGTCAGCATCGTTGAAGTTTTTATCGTCGTCGACATCGTAAACCGTTTTAATAAATTCTTTTACTGGTGGAAAAGTCAAGTTCCTAGATACATAATTTATTCGTTTCGTAATTATCGATACACGGACTGACGTTTCGTTTCACAAACAATCGTGTATATCGAAATGCGTGTTTTGCGTTGACGTACCTAATCGACGTTAGGTAACGGAGTTTCTCAAGGGGATAGTAAAGATTTATTTTCATCTAAAGCATTACTATTCTTGGAAATAAAAATCATTATATACAACACATTTTGACGATCGATCATTTTTTAAACAACGTCGACCACCAAGACGGGGTCACAGGAGACACACGTTCCTGTGACTCTTCTCATGTTCTCAAGGGGTTACATATGCTTAGCTTCATTTTTCGACACGACATAGAATTATGCGAGCAATATGTTTAACTCAGTTCATTTGTGTACATAGATGTATGGTGTACAATGTAAAATACGTAGCCCCTCGAGCCAGTTTCGTTTTCACGGAATTAATTCTAGGAGATGGATTGTCCAAGGCAAGAAGCATGTCCGATCAGCCAGCGTCTTGTCCACTGTGCGGCGCGATTTTACGTCAATCACGAAATCTGCGAAGACATTTAGAGCTTCTGCACTTTGGATTTGGTAGCAACGGTAAATCCGGTGTACACTCCAGGCATCGAAGGACCGACAGAACAAACGATCTTGTACGATCCACGTTAGCCTTTATTTGTCCGCCGCACATCGCGAGGACCGAACATTCAAGAACTATTGAGAATACCGACTTCCCGACGTCTCTTTCCATTGCTTCGACTCTCGCCTCCAGCATTTCAGGTGAAAAAAAAAATATAGCTTAAGCTACGAAAACACGGAACGATTGATACAATAATACTACGAGAATCGTTAAAATTGATATTCGACGACATCGTACCGAACTAGTCTACTTCGGTACCCGTTCCATTCGAGACGAACGATTCTCAGGATTCTCTGCGCAAAGATGATCCAAAATTCCATTGAAGAAAAATCAAGGAACAACAATCGGCAGATCACAAACTCTGTGACGGTATATCAAATGATACTGTATCAATCTTCCTCTATATGTACATGTATGTATACGTATTTCTTGCACGATGCTTTTTATTTCAAAATCACACTTTTATTTCAAAATGTTTATTTACGAGAAAAAAGATCGTCTGATTACAGAATTCTACGATTTTCTATTTCTTTTAGTTTCACTCCCCTACATTGTGACACTCGGTGAGGTAATGATTATATGAAAATGTTAATGATTTCATTTTATTCTCAGACATAATTATGTTTCGTCATTTTGGAAATATTGTTGTACGTTCTTGACTAAAAGATGAATAATTATGAGCTTCGTGTGTTACAGTACGCTGCAGAATCTGGCAAGGGGAAAGATATTGTACCTGGACAGACCAATTTTGATGAAATTTTTGTGAGAGATTGTTCTTGAAAAAATATTTGATATGTACATTTTTATCGGTCATTATCCACGCTGAAAACATCTCTTAAGTATAATATCTTTTTTCCTCTAACTTTAAGGGTTTAATTATCACCCTTATAACATGGATGATAGCCGATAAAAAGAATATGTGTAAAATGTTTTTTCGAAATCTACCTCTCACAGAAATTTCATCAAAATCGGTGTTAAATGTTGAATTATACACTGCATTTCATGTTAAATCATATTTAAAGATTTCGTATATATTTGTAGAAGTAACGCATCCAACTGAGATGAAGTTAATTAAATTGAAGAAAATCGAAGGAAATGAAGTTAATTAAATTGCTTCAACTTTAACGTGCAAATGTGGAACTGGTTCCTGTCGTTCGATGTACTTTCAAATTTTACACAAATCACTTTCTCACTAAAGTGTTACAATTTGCAGGGTCAAGACCAAAAAATCTAAAAAAAAAAATGCTTCACCTCTGAAGCTAAGAACCACTCTAATGTATATTCAAGATACACGGAAAACATTTCAGGCTAATGATTTTCTTTTGCTAGAGTTCCGTATATACGATTATACAGGGTGTTCCCTTAATTTTTGCACACAGTTTTTAATCTGACAAAAAAATGTTTCTAACATAAGTTTCTCGGTTTCACATCGGCCACGCGATAAGATATTGAATTAAAAAAATTGTCATTGTTTCAATAAAAAATCGAGCTCACCTTCATCTTTTTAAATAGCATTGCATATTCTCTTTACTTCATATTACTGTAATTCGTGTCAAGACGAATTTAACGACCTGCTATAACATGACCTTCGGATGCATTGAACTAAAGTTACGACTAAAAGTGTATTACAGAGAGCGAAGTTCTGTGTTGCACAATTTCAGTTTGATCATAGGTTGTAACATAATTACGTCACAAGTTAAATTCATTTAATTTACGTATATAGTCTGTGCTCACAAATATTTTTCTGAATCATTGTTATGTCTATTATTCTGAGTTACAACGAACTGCATTAATTAGACTCTCAAGGTTCGTCGTAACAGCCGACCCGATATCTTTCTTTTCCTTGAATTTCTGTAACGATAATTGCTTGTAATAATCTTATCAATTTAGCGATAGACGTATCTTAAAATAAAGCAATTTCCGTCTTTGATCGTTTCTGTTGATTCATTTGAATGAATTCTGTTGATTCAAATTTCACAGTTCAATGCCATCCGAAGGTCATGTTATAGAAGATCGTCGATTTCATCTTGACACGAATTCAATAATACGATCGTAAAGAACGCATACAACAATACCGTTTAAGAAAATGGAACTGATCACGATTTTCTATTGGAAAAATATCTTTTTGAATTCAATATCTTATTATGTAGCCGACAGGAAACCGATAAACGTTTGCTGGAGACATTTTTTTGTCAGATTAACAGAAGCGAAATGTGTGCAGAAGTTAAGGAAACACCTGGTATACAATAGTCGGTAAAGTTGATATTTTTTCGTTCTCGATCCTGCGATCGCCTCCTGGCCGAACGCTCGAGAGTCGCGCAATTAAAGTGTCCTTAATGTGTTTGTGCTCAGCAGGTTTGGCGGCACCGAGCTCGAATTCGGTCGCAACCGGAGATCAAGGCGCGAGTTCTGCGCTACTTCCAGCCCCAGGCTCGTCTGCCACTTCTACGGCTTCAGTTAATAGCGGGATATACGCGTATCCATCGGACAATAATGTCAATATGTTGAATTGTGTGTCACCTTCGCAATCGTCTCTGCCACCGTCGTCTCTTTCTTCTCCGCACGACGTGCTCCGATACGGCGAGATCTTGAGGGCCGGCATTGCGTACCACGATTTCTCGAGATAGTGTGCCAAATAAATACAGGACACAGCAAATCGGTGTTACTTCACCTTCTTCGCCGATTTCCTCGTTTCAGCATAACGCTGCATCGATGTTAACGAAAAATGAGGATTTCTCGTCAGCAGATCGAACATTATTTTAAGAAACCATTGTGGTTTCGTTCACGTAGCTGGAGCTTGATTGTTTGATGTCGATGTAGACCATTATTACATTAGAAATAGGTAGCTGAGAATCTCTTTAATGATTAACCATTCGGTCGGTCTTTCTTGAAACTATACAGTAAAATCAATGGTCACGTGTTATGTGTGGAAACTGGAAGAGCAATTCCTTAAGAGCATATTCTAGTGTCAACGTTTGAGAAGAATACTTATTNATAAATATTATTATATCTTATTATTAATACTTATTTATAGTATTCTAACTTAGAAGAAATAATTATAAACAAATACAGATTATTAACGAAATATTCAAAATATTATTTTATATTTATATAAATATTATTATATCTTATTATTAATACTTATTTATAGTATTCTAACTTAGAAGAAATAATTATAAACAAATACAGATTATTAACGAAATATTCAAAATATTATTTTATATTTATATAAATATTATTATATCTTATTATTAATACTTATTTATAGTATTCTAACTTAGAAGAAATAATTATAAACAAATACAAATTATTAACGAAATATTCAAAATATTATTTTATATTTATATAAATATTATTATATCTTATTATTAATACTTATTTATAGTATTCTAACTTAGAAGAAATAATTATAAACAAATACAAATTATTAACGAAATATTCAAAATATTATTTTATATTTATATAAATATTATTATATCTTATTATTAATACTTATTTATAGTATTCTAACTTAGAAGAAATAATTATAAACAAATACAAATTATTAACGAAATATTCAAAATATTATTTTATATTTATATAAATATTATTATACGTCTTATATTTTATTATTTTATTATTTATTTATTTGTGATACTTTTAACGTAGTGGGAATAATTTTAAACATTAAAAAGTAAATATTATTATTATTATTTGCATTGTACGAAGGCTATATAATTATTAAAAAACGTGTGAAAGACGCTGAAAACAATCAGAAACAAA